ACACTAGGTCTTAACCCATGCATGATAACATTAGGTTAGTCTGATTCCCTTCGCAACCGTAGGTTAGAGTTCTGTCTCCTCTTTCTCAAAACAAACAGAAAAACACAATAAAATTTCAAACACAATAAAAGACACTTCTTCCGTAAAAGAATGTGAACTCGTCAAGACGTCATTTTTGTCCGCTTGGACTGCTAATCAGAAAAACCTTTTTTCAGAAGGAATAAAATCAACCAAGACAGACTTGTGTCGTATGTGGCCCGAACTACGTTTGCTCTGATCTTCCATGCAGTGTGAAAGTACGTAGGCATAGGATGCGATATCCTAGCGAGCAACCTTCCCCTCCTTTCCCGTAGGTAGGCGAACTACGTTGACTCTGATTTCTCGTTCCAGACGGGAATACGTAGGCATAAAGTGCGATACTTTGCCGAGTCATTTTATTTTCAGTTTATTTCCTTTTAACCCCTGACCATTAGAGTAGATAGAAATAACAATCCGTACCCGAAAACAAGCGTGGATCCCGTCGAGTACGACAGACGTGAGGGGTGCTAATACCTTCCCCTTGCGTAACCGACTCCCGAATCCAGGTTTTGGTTGCGACGACCATACCTTTCCCGTGTTGTGCGAGGTTTACTCTGAGCGTTTCCTTTCCCTCCTGTGGGATAAATAACGCGCGGTGGCGACTCTTCTGTCAGCCGGCGCCGATTTTCGCAGTAGCGACAGTTATCAACAATCTAGTATTCCTTAGAAAAACACTCAAGTACTATAGCTACCAAAGGTCATCATGATAAATCATACGAAAATACATCTAAACCGTGGGGCACATTTAAGGCTCGAATTCCACACGAAATGACATCACATCTTGAATTTCCACTCCAGCCAGACTACAATCGGTAGAAGAAGACAAGCACAACAAAGTTTCCAGGCCAACCCCTCTCTCACCATACTAGAAGGTCAAGTCCACCGTTGCCAATTGTATCTTCCGATCACATCGATTTTGGTTCCCTCTTGGCTCTCTCTCTCTCTCTCTCTCTCTCTCTCTATATATATATATATATATATATATATATATATATATATATATATATATATATATATATATATATATATATATATATATATATATATATATATATATATATATATATATATATATATATATATATATATATATATATATATATATATATATATATATATATATATATATATATATTAGTTATATTTTATAATGACATGCATGGGTAGACACGAGAACCAGCCTGTAGTAGGCGCTTGTCTAAGGGTATGTCACCTAGACATGATTCCACTCACCAATGGCCCGCCCCTGGAAGAAAACGTGGTTGATGAAGTGTATGTTGTCCATAACCACATGTGGAAGTAGTCATGACCATGATTCCTAAGAAGTAGGCAGTCCACGAGCTTCATGGTCAAGGTGGAACAATGATTACTTCTTAAGATCCCCTAAATTCAGACTCATATACCTCTATAAATAGGTTGAGGAGGACAATTTAACACACACCAAAACCTCCCTAAAACAGAGTTTCTCATCCTCGTGTGCTTGCTTTTATCCTATAAAAATACTAAATCCTCTAGAAACTCCTACCAACATATGGGTGTTACACATCTATACTTTATTTTAGCAAGTATAGTGGCACCCATTGTGAGGCTCGGGTAAAACTCACCTAGGACACACCCTTTCATTGTTATTACCACCTTGAAACTCACACAGTTCTTTGCTCCTAGTCCTAAATATCTCTAATCATGGTTGCTAGGAGGGAAAATTTTCACGCACGGGAGCATACCAGAGGTAGCAGAGATTCTAATACCATAGAAGAAATATGTGCCGCCATGGACGATCTGCGTCAACAAAACCAAACATTGTAGGACAAAGTCCTTAACATTCAACAATGCAAGCTTTTGTTTGAGACTTTCAAGGATGCATTTCTACAATGCTACATGGGCCTACTTCGATCCTCCATCACCAACTATCAGGATCTAGGGAAGAAACTCTTGCACCATTTTGTAGCAAGTCGACAAAGAAAGCTGCCCACCACTCGCCTTTTTAACATTTGACAAGGCCCCTCGTAGTAATTGAGGGAGTACCTCACTTGTTTTAATGAAGGAACAATAAAATTCGTCCACCTGAACCAATAAATGTTTATAGGGAAATTTCAAAATGGGCTCAAACTAAGGCACTTCGACGAGTCCCTCACCCAAAGGCTAGTGTTTTTGTTAGCATAGGTGGTCACAAGGGCAGGATGATATTTAAGGGCGATGAGAGTAATGTCGAGAAGAAAGCCTGTGACGTATAAGTTTAAAAAGGACTTAGAATGTATGATCCAAGTGGGCCGTCTTTAAGAAATACGTTAAGGGAAAAGATTAGCTAGGGATGACTCCTCCCAAAGGCCAGGTGGGGCCAGCTCTTGGGAGTGAGTATACTGGAAGCCCTATATCCATAAAGGGAAAGGAGTTATGCAAGGAAGATGGTGACAAGATTGTGTGTCACACACTCAATACTATTGCAAGAGGATTTTCTATGGGCGAAGAGACTACTTCATTCGAAGAAGATAGTGTTGGTAGATCAAGGAAACTTTGCATATATCCTCTATTGGAATCCATTTGGGAGGTTTCTCCTCGACCCAGATGATCTAAAAGATTTCAAAGGATCGCTAGTTGGGTTTTATGGGGAGAAGTACAAGTTAAGGGTTACATAATGTTGAAGACCACCTTTGGTGCATGAGAACATGCCAAGTAAACCAAGGTTAGACCAAGTAACACCTAGATCACCTCTTGCTCAAAGGGGGGTGGGGGGAGGTTGACGGAGTCTATTACTTTGATAAGATTAGGGTTCTTTGTTCATGATAAAGGAAAAAGGGGGTGCCTGTCACCATGTGGCTCTATCTAACCATATAACTCTCACAAATTTATCTTTCCGATCCTCACAAGGCTTTGCATTGAGATCTAACAAACCCATACAAAGAAAAATAACATAGAGTTATCGAACCACTAGCGGGGAGAACCTCTATGCTATGAAACAAAAAGAATACATCGACACTAAAGAGGAGGCCCAGGTGGCGACATATGATCTCAAAGTTCCTATGGATGCTCCAGACATTGGGCATGATTTAGGATGGGGACATTAGCAGTCGCCAGAAATTCCACTTCCAAGGGTATAAAAGGTGTCGAGAGCCCTAATTCATGAATGAAATGATAGTGAGGTGCAATTAGAAATAAAGAATGGGTAAAGCACCTATAGTAGCCATATTGTCCCTTTTTAGTTTTGAATGCAAATCCAGGATTAGATCCTCTTCAGGCCTTGTGCTTGAGAACCTAATATTCTGACAAAAGCCCACAATTCTATCTGAGTTAAAATATAAGTAAACATTATCTTAATCACTGACACATTTTGCATTCTTCTTTCCCATATGTTCCTGATATAAAACGAAAAGGTTAACATACCACATGAATTCTCTTGGCTTGAAGGTCATAAAAGCACTCATATGAGATTCCTCTATTGAATAGTGGAAGTTCTAAAACAAGATGGACATGGAAAGGTTTTATGTGAAAATAAGTCAAGACTCATTTATAAAGAAAAAGCTAAGAACACATGCAACATACTTGTTTGGAAGCGAAACAGTTTCGAGAAGTGGGAAAGGTTCCACATGTTAGGGACACACGTAAGGAAAAATCTAGGTTGAATTTCTCTAAGAAATCCATCATGAGCGGCATTAATTTCCATACACGTTTCTTTCCCACTAAACGATTAAGTTTTCATAACTGGTTGATGTTTCAACGCGTCTGGAAATGAGATACTGATAGCATAACACTCATACAACACATGGAAGTGCAACCAGAGCCCTCTCATGGTGCACCATTTCATGAGGGACTCGCCTCTAACTTAGGGACTCACCCCTAATTAAAGGACTTTCCCCCAACTACGGGACTAACTTGGAAGGAACGAAAGACTTAAACTATTATGTGGAGAAGGTTCTTAATCACTCCCTCCTTTACGAGTTGTCGTGCTCAAGGGACTATGTAGTAATATATTTACAAAGGCATGCATAAGCGACACAAGGACCAGCCCGTAGTAGGCTCCCACATAAGAGTATGTCGCCTAGATATGACTCCCACCCACCAATATCCTGCTTCTGGGAGAAAACGTGGACAGTGACATGTATGTTGTCCATAACCACATGTGAAAGCAATCATGACCATAATTTCTGAGAAGTAGGCAGTCCACAAGCTTCACGGTCAAGGTGGAACACTTACTACTTCTTAAGATCCCCCAAATCCACTCATAAGCCTTTACAAACGTAGGGTTGAGGAGAAGAATCTAATACACGTACAAAAAACACACCCAAGACAGAGCATCTTACCCTCGTGAGCTTGCGCTCACGGCCACATAAACACTAAAGCCTTTGGTAACCCCTATCAACCTAGTGGTGTTACGCATCTCTCTCTCTCTCTCTCTCTCTCTCTCTCTCTATATATATATATATATATATATATATATATATATATATATATATATATATATATATATATATATATATATATATATATATATATATATATATATATATATATATATATATATATATATATATATATATATATATATATATATATATATATATATATATATATATATATATATATATATATATATATATATATATATATATATATATATATATATATATATATATATATATATATATATATATATATATATATATATATATATATATATATATATATAATGTTATTTTTGGTCATATTGAAAATTAATAAAACAATTTACAAGGACCCAAATGACTTTATGTTACAATTCTCCATTATAGCATAGCATGCATGTACCAATCAATATCAATATATAGACACAAATGTTTCTCAAGCCATGTGAAAAATAAGTGTTATATATACTCTATCTACACTAGCAAGTTAAGCTATACAAATCAGTTTTTTATAGTTCTCTTCTTTCTATAGTTATAGTGGCCATGGACGGAAAGAAATTAGAATACAAAGGTGAAGAAGCACTTAAGGAGATAGAGAGGCTAACAATGAATGCTGATGAGGTTCAAGAAAGTATTCTGAAACAGATCTTAACCCAGAATAAAGAAACTGAGTATTTAAACAAGTATATGAAGGAAGAAACATATGTAACTGATTTACAAGAGTTTAAGCGTTGTGTTCCAGTAATTAGTTATGAAGGAATCTTTCCATATATACAGAGAATTGCAAATGGTGAAGACTCTTCTCTCATCACTGGTAAACCAATAACAGAAATGTTATGCAGGTAAATTTTTTGATTCTGCTACTGTTATTAGTATTTAACTTGCTTACTGCACTAAAAGCTTATGATTATGTTATGTTAGTTAATTTTGTTAACAATTTTAATCATATGGTATGTGCATGCAGTTCAGGAACATCAGCTGGAGAGCCTAAACTGATGCCATCAATTGCTGAAGATCTTGATCGTCGTACTTTTGTGTATAATCTTATCATGCCAATCATGAATCAGTTAAGAATATCTGAGTTCAATTTCTAACCTGAACAATCTTTAATTATCAGTACTTACATACTGTCTGAATTTCGACTGAAGAATCTTTAATAATATCTTAATCTTAAGGGAGTGTTTGTTTGTTGTGTTTAATATAATTAGTCCCCACTAATGATTGTCATCCACTCTAATGGCCTAAAGAAAAGGATAAGATGAAAAGATATGATATGAGTGGATGAAGGGGCCCATCACCATGCATTTGATACGTTTTTGTTTGTTATATATCTGCACTATACCAAAGGATCATAATGCATATTGCATACTCACTACTATAGTAGCTAGCAAGTGCGACTTGACAAGTGCTACATGCATTATAATCATGCATATTCACTTATCAAATTTTGAAGGCGTGCAAGATAGGCTACATCAGAGATTGTGTGTTTACCATAGTTAAGTTATGACTAAGTCAATCGGTAATATTATACTTATCCGATTGTTAAAATGTTTGACTTTAATTAGGTACGTTTGTTATCTCGACGAAGGCAAAGTGATGTATCTGTACTTTGTGAAACCAGAAAAATCCACACCATGTGGTTTACCAGCAAGAAGTGTGTTAACAAGTTACTACAAAAGCAAACACTTCAAATGCCGCACTCAGGATCCTTGGAATGATTACACAAGCCCTGACCAAACCATTCTCTGCAATGACATCAACCAAAGCATGCATTGCCAACTCCTATCAGGTCTAATTCATCGCGGTCAGGTTCTAAGACTCGGCGCAGTCTTCGCTTCAGCATTTCTAAAAGCAATTTCATTCCTTGAACGTAACTGGAGAACTTTATGTGATGACATAAGGAATGGACAGTTGAGTTCCTTTATAAAAGACCCTTCTTGCCGTTCATCGATGTCGACTCTACTTTCATCTCCTGATCCATGTCTAGCTGATGAAATAAGTAAAATCTGTAGCCAAAAATGTTGGAAGGGGATTCTATGTAAGCTTTGGCCTAAAGCAAAGTATATTGAAGCTGTTGTGACAGGGTCTATGGCTCAATATGTTCCGGCTTTGGAGCATTATTGTGAGGGAAAATTGCCTTTGGTTTGTACTATGTATGCTTCTTCTGAGTGTTACTTTGGGGTGAATTTGAAACCTCTGTGTGATCCTGATGATGTTGCTTTTACACTGTTGCCTAATATGGGTTACTTTGAATTCATTCCTCTTGGACATAATGGGAAACTGTTGATGGATTTTGATGAAAATGAAAAAGTTCCTAATGATATGCTTGTGGATTTAGTGAATGTCAAGCTTGGTTGCTTTTATGAGCTGGTCATCACTACATTTGCTGGTAAGTAAACTCTTCATTATTTGAGGGCTTTGCGGTAGTGTGAATTAAAATAATATATTGCTGTTTGAGGCCTTTCTGATCATATATGTGAAAACTTACAGGGCTATATAGATACAGAATCGGTGATGTGCTTCAAGTGGTAGGATATTACAACAAAGCGCCACAATTCCGATTCATATGTAGAAGAAACGTCGTAATAAGCATTGACAGTGAAAAGACAAATGAACAAGATTTACACAGAAGTGTCACAAAAGCCAAAAAGCTATTAGAGCCTTATGATGCTCTCTTAGTGGAATACACTAGTTATGCTGATACTTCATCACTACCGGGACACTACGTATTGTACTGGGAGATTCTTCATTATGGCACAAAAATGGACCCACTTGACCCAAAGGTGCTTCAAGAATGTTGCATTGCAGTTGAAGAGGAGTTGGATTATGTATACAGAAGATGCCGCACTAATGACAAATCTGTTGGAGCTTTAGAGATACGTTTGGTGGAGCCAGGAACTTTTGAAGCATTGATGGATTTGTTTATCACTAAAGGGGCTTCAATTAATCAGTACAAAACACCAAGGTGTATTAAGTCTAAGAAAGCACTTAAGTTGCTTAAGTCTAAAGTTATGGCTTCTTTCTTTAGTCCCAGAGATCCTAAATGGACTGTTACTTGATTTGCTACTTTTTTTTTTTCTGATAATGATGACTTTGATGTTTTCTTCAACCATAAAGTTGGTTGTTGTAAAATAATTTGCTATTGATCAACCAATTTGTGCTCAACATATTAAAGGCTTCTCTAACATGTATGATTATGAGTGTTTGTGGTGGAGTTTGGACTTGTTTTAAGGAAAACTCACATTCGAAAAAAAGATGAAGTGTATGTGATTTAGTTTGATTTTGAATGACAACTTAAAAAAAATCAATATCAACTAAATCAAATTTAATATGTTTTATTATGTATCGGTTTTTGGATCTAAAACTATAAAGATGTGATAAAATATTAATTTTAACATAAAATATAATTTATAATATATTAAAATTTAAAATTACAGGATGAAATTTATCAATTAGGTTTGAAGCATATAGTTATATATTATAACCAATTTTATACAAAAATAGCAGACAAATGGGCAACAAGTTGTACCACTATCTCTTTTAAGATGGTAAAATTAATTCTCTTAAAAACTATATTCATTGTCCTATATGATACGACATTGCTATGCATGAGTCTTTGAAACATATAAAATATTAAAAATATGTTAAATTAAATAAATAAATAGTCTTAAAAAATTAAAAGCCAACTTATAATAGATTAATGTAGTACATCATAGTAATATAAAAATATAAAGTTTTAAAATATATGTATGTGATTTTGTTCGAATATGTAAATTCAATCCATCCAATATGATATCCAAGCAGTTTTAATAAAATGACTTTCAAGTATATCCAAGATTGTTCAATTTTGTGTGGTTTTGATTTTTTTTAGATCAATTTGTGATTTTAATTTAGATCGATTTGGATTTAAATACCCATAGGTGTGATGCAGATAAGGAAATTGGATAGTTAAAAAGGGTATGTCAACATTGACAGTGATGAGACAAAAAGAGGTTTGCATGTAAAACCTACATGATTTTTGGGAGTAATGTTGTAAGATCATTGAGTGGTAATAATGCAACCAAACTATGTCATATGTGTTTTTGAAGTTGTATGTATCTGATACATTAAGGAGAAGAATTCAATATAATTTTGTTGTTTGTCTTTTAAGCTTTACTTTGAATTTAGTTTATATTTGAGTCTCTTATTGAATTTCATATCTTTTAGGATCGAGTTTTGGATATGTATTTTAGCATGCATAATTCAAAGTGTCTGTGTTTGAGTTTGAACATTATGCTTTAGGTTAATTAGTTGAGTTTTGTTAAACAAGAACCATAGTTGAAAACATGAAATTTTGAGGTTTTTAACGTGTGATTCAAATCACACACCCCCAAGTGTCGAACTAAAAAAGGAAGAGAGGAACATGAATTTTTTTGAAGTTTGTGACTTGAATCACAACTAGCTTTTGATTCAAATCATGTTGATGTGAGTTGAATCACGTTTTATCATTGAGTTGAATCACAAATCCTTTTTCGTCCACTCTCTAGTTTGAGTTGAATCATGATCGTGTCATGACTCGAATCATGACCTTTTGAGTTGAATCATGCATTAAGCCTTGAGTTGAATCAAGAGAAATGAGTCTCTCTTTTAAGTGTTGGTATTGTTTCTAATTACTTTTCTAACTTGACTCAAATAATCAAATGTTCTTGACTTGAATCAAACATAAATTTTTCACTACTTTTTGTGCTTCATCTCCAGCACCTATATTTTCATCTCTCAACCTTTCGTAATGTTAGAAAAAAAAACTTTTTTTTTTGATGATTTGAAAACTCACAACCCTTTTGTTCTTACACTTTAAAAATGGTTTTGAATCTTTCTTGAACACTTGCAAATGATTTATTTCATACTATACTTCATTCTTTTTCTAATGTTGCATGGATATGAATCTTATCTTTATAGACTCCTAATTGATTGAGAAAACTCATTTTTAAATTTAACGTTTCTTTGAAGATTTGTTTAGAACTTCAGAAGCATGCAATTGTGTGGAGATGTGACTCGCTATGACAATTCTAATGGAAAAGAAAAAGATTCTTCTCTATAGATTGACCTTGGTAGTAATGTGTGGAAGTGTACAAACAGAGTAGGAGTTATTTTGATATTTGGATAGACTATACCTCATTATATCAACGAAATTGTGTGGAGATTTCCGCAAACGGAGAATTAGGAATAGGTTGTTAAGGGTGGAAGATTCATGAAGGAACTTGAGTAAATATTCCACAAATAGTTCAAATTGTGGAGTTTAGTATAAGTAAAGATCCAGAATAGAGGACATTTTCTTTTTAGCATTTTATTTGTGGACTAGTGATTGTACGAACGTTTGTAATATTGCTGCAAATCATAGTGGAAGACCAACGAATTTTCAATGAGAAACCATTAGAGAGTGGCTTAAGGACAAAGTTAGGAAGAACGTGTCAAACCACTATAAATCTCAGTGTACACTTTTCTCTCTATCTATTTCTTACTCATTTAATTTTGTAGTTGATTGCATGATTAGGTTGTTGTTATTACTTACCAAAATCTCATGTTGATAGATTTATCCATTGGTAGAGATTTGTTGTACAAGCTATACGTTTTCTAAGAATTGGAAACTCCACCTTTGTCTGATTATGGATTAAGTCTGAAAACATTGATATTGGTATCTTAATTATATTGAAAGTTATTTAATATCACTCCTTGTGAAATTGAGTGATTATGAAATACAATTGGGTTGTAATTTTTTGTGCAATTCAATTGTTCAACTTGAAAATTGTGAACTGTTTAAGAATACTCGTATAACTTCTAATCGATAAGTATAATCTCTTTTTACGCAAACTTTTCTTCTGCCACACAAAACATATTATTTTTGAAACTCTAATTAAAACATTTTTCAAATGAAATTTTTATTTTGGGATGTCTATTGACCCCCCCCCCCCCCCCCCTTTTAAAATGTTATTAGTCAATATTCTAACCTAACAATTGGCCTTAGATGTGGTCTTTTGATCAAGTCTAAACTACTAAAAAGTTTAGGAATATGGGTGACCACGATTTGAAGGGAGCGTACAATAGAGCCCCGCCTTTTAAAGGCAAAAATTATGCTTACTGGAAGGATAATATGTATGTAAACTTAATGTTAATTGAAACTAATCTATGGGTAGCAGTCACAAACAGACATTTTATCCCTAAAAACAAAGTCGATGATTCTATTAAAAACCCAAAAGATTGGACAAATGATGAAACCAAAATGATTTCATATGATTTAAAAGCGAAAAACACAATTATATATGTGTTAAATTCTAAAGTACATTACTATATATCACATCAAAAAAGCGCACAAACTACGTGGAACGCTCTTCAAACCCTTTACGAAGGTACTAAAGATGTCAAAGATTCAAAAATAAATATGTTGATCGAGGAGTGTGATCTTTTCCATATTGAACTCAGAGAATCAATGGAATCCATCCAAACTAGCGTTATTCATTTAATCAACAAACTAGACATTTTGGGAAACACCATTTCTAACAAAGTTGTGCTAACAAGATTTTGAGATTTATGTGTAGAGAATGGCAATCAAAGGTAACTGGCATAAAAGAGTCAAATGATCTTAGTTCTTTGGATATCACAAATTTTTTTGGAAAGTTCAACGAACATGAAAATGAACTGAAATGCCTCACGGAAAGTTACGTAAAATTGAAGAAGAAAGATAAGGTCAAATAAGATAAGTGAGATCTATCCTTGAAAGCTTTGTCGTTAATGACAAATAAAAATAAGGATGGAGATGATAGTTCCGACGAAGAATCTTTAAAAGAAGAAGAGATAAGTTTATTCGTCAAACGCTACAAACAATATATGAGGAAACATAAGCTCAAGCATTCCCAAAAAATCTGATCAACTTCAAAAAGTATCATCCATGCAAGAAAGAACATAAAAGAAAATAAGAAGATGTCACATGCTTTGAATGTATAAAATAAGGTCATTATAGAACCACGTGTCCGAGTCTCAACAAGCATCATAAGAAAAAGATTAGGAATTCTACAAGACGAAGGGAAAACACGCCAAAGGTCTTATAGCCTACTTTTCTTGGGAAGAAGAAGATGAGAGCTCCTTTTTATCTTCCAGATCAAGTTTTGATGATGAATGTGCTAACATAAGCTTGATGGCATACAATAAAAGTGAAGACTACGAGGTATACACTTTTGATCCTGAAGTTAAACCATCTTATAATCAATTGTCAAAAGCTTTTAGTTATATGCATGCATATGCTCTAGATGCTTTTAAGAAAATTAATCTCAAAAGAAAACTTACTTCGAAACTTAAAAATGAGATAAATGATCTTAATAGTGATTTAGATTTCTTGAAGGAAGATCATGCATCTCTCGTAGATGAAAGTTTCAATACTTTTAATACTTTATTTGGAAAGATAGTAAGGATAGATTGCGTTACTCGTCCAATTTTAAGACCTAAAAATATCAAAGGAAAGTTCACACAATCTATATCCTTATCTACTATTAGTTATATGTCTTCAAGTGAAAGAGGGACCGGTTTTGACATGAAACATAGACTAGTTAAAAGAAATAGAAAGAGTATTTCATCTAAAGTAACATGTCATGTCACTATTGTGCTAACAAGGGTCACATTAGGCCTCTTTACCATGTTAGGAATGTTAAATTTCCTAATGATACCATGACTTAGATATACCTAAGTGTTCATTAACTAACCCTGAAGGAACCAATTGAAATTGGGTACCTAGTTTTACCAATTGATATTTTATGCATGAATATCTAGAAATCTTAATGGGTTATCAAGACAAGTGAAGGAAGATGTATCTAATCATATGTTTGGTTGTATTGTATTTTTTCTATATTAGTGTTGTTACTTTCTAAATTTACTTATGCAGCATGTTTAATCCTAAATCATCATAATTGGTATGATTGTTCCTTTCTTCTCCATTTCTCGTAGTTGCACTTAATTTATCTTAATTGTTTTGATTGGATATTGGCCATTCATCTATTTTTCATTTGTATCAAAATTGTTTTTCATGTGC